GTAGTAGTAGTAGTAGTACTAGTAGTAGTAGTAGTAGTAGTAGCAGCAGCAGCGCCAGTAGTACTAGTAGTGTAGTAGTGAAAGCCGCTTCTTCAGAAAGTTATTATGAGGGGAACAATGCGGCAGGGAGACCAAGAAGTGCCCTGCACTTGCACACTTGGCCGTCAAGAATTGGAGACATTTGAACTTAAACCCAAGTTACACATGGACAATGATGTCTTTAGCGTACACATGTGACATCATACTCGTGTGGTCATTAAAAGAATTCCTGTCTACCGAGTGGAGAAAAATTCAAGGTCAATCAAGTACAGAGATTGAAAAAAGAAGCAGCGTCACCGAAACGCCTATCAGCAATCAGAACTGCACAGCCGCTAGAGCAAGTGATCTGCATTCAAGCCCCAGCACCTGCTTTTCTCACTGCCTTGCTTGAACCCCAACTTTTGGAAGCTCACGTTCCCATCCCAGCGGCATGCAGTAAAGCATCATCAGGGGCACACCGATGACAAACAGCAGTAGGAAAAGCACGAGGACGAGACCCTGGTTCTCCTCTCAGGGAATGTTCAGTTCGAGGTGTCAGCAGATGTAGGGGCGCGTTCCGAAACATACCTCGAATCATATCAAACGCAATCCATTTTGCCTGAGCAGGCCTCCTGAAAAAGGAACGGATCCATTCTACCTAAGTCACGGCAGGGAACTTGAAAAAGCACTGTTTTTGGTGTGCACACCAATCCTAGGCGTATATCTGTCTGCAGCATCCTACCTGCAGGACCCTTTGCAGGAAGACTGCAATGATGCTTCGGCGGGACAATGCGGAGGTACACCGACACATGAGAGCGTGAAACACATGCCTCTCCTCCATGAAGCGTCCTGTATCTAGAAGCTCTTTTTCTTGCCCGTCCCACTTTCTTGCGGCTCCTTGCTGATGGTGGGGAGGGCCACATCGAGCTGCACTTGCGATGGACCATCAGGATTCCCGTACTTGCCTCGAAGCCGCAAACTAAGGAATCTGAAGGGTGCTAGTTAATCCTAGCCTACTCATTGCTCCTTCTGCCGGCAAATGCAACTTTGACCATTATTCCTCCACGATTAAGATTTTTCGCAGGGGTTGCCCCTCCGAAATTACAAATGAACATGAAATCCCTTCATGGAAATTGCAGCGCAAGTCAAAGCCTTCTGGCATTGATCGCATCTTGGTGTCTGAACATGCAGACTACTGGCTTCAATTTCTACAGATTGCAAATCCCAAAATGGCGAGCTTCTTACCCTAACTTCTTGATTTGGTTTTCATTCCGTGTAAGCACTCTACTGACTAGGGCTACGACAGAGAAAGATAGCATGTGCGCTTCCCAAACAGAAGCAGACTGAGGCCCTGTCGGTAGTTGAGCTTGGCCACGGGATCAGTCAGGGCATCATATGCCTTCTCAGCTTGTTCATGCTGCGAAAACAGCATATAGGAGGACCTTCAGATGGTGGACAGGACTCCCCTCACAACCTAATAGGCTTGAAGCAGGGATGGGAATCTATATCTTGTGTGACTGTGTCGGACTTGCTCGCCCTCCAAAGGAACTTCCAAAGATGATCCGCTCTTTTGGGACACCTTCTCAAGGCAAGCGTATTGCGAAACACGAGTGGTCTTTTGCAGTGCTTACAAGGGACCACAGGACATTGCCTGGTCGTAACTTGAGTTCTCCCTACCTAGCACCCTCTGAACAAATCCCAGCCTTTTTTATGAGCATGAACTTCTCGGCTGCGCCCTCCTCCTTATTCTTGTCGGGGTGGTATTTGAGGGACAGCTTGTGATAGGCCTTCCTTAGCTCTCGCAGGACATGATCCAATTATCTGCCCAGACCTCCACAATGACCGATAGCCCCTACAACTGCATTAATATGGTAGTTACGACCCAGAAATAGACACCAAGATAGCATAACCCTTATTGTGGGGACCCCAAAAGATACCCCTAATTTTCGGTTTGGAGCTCGGCTTCACGCAGTCATCCTGCAAGAGCTGAGGGGCTGCCAGCTTCCAGCTGCACTCCACATGATAGTTGCTGTGGTGAACAAAAACATGTTGAGTCCTCAGGCCCGTATTCCAAAACTGCTGCACACTTTTGGCACTCAAAGCTCTCCTTGTGATGGCTCTTGGCCTCCCAGGGTAGCCACTTTGGCTGCCCTCAATAGGACAGCTGAGGTACAGAACCAATCCACACGGTTTATGTTTGAAGGCTTGGGTATTAAAAGAGACGTCTGGTGGTCCCCTCTATCCGGGCGATCTCTATGAGCCCTTGCGGTGGACACGACCGTTATACAATTTGAGTATATTATGGTATATAATAGTGTATTATAATATATCACAGTATAGCATAATCTGTTATAATATACTATAGTATATTCTACTATATTATAGTATATTAAAGTATATTATAGTATATTATAATATATTACAGTATATCTTAGTATCTTCTAATATATTACAATATGTTCTAGTAAGTTATAGTATATCATCGTATAGTATAGCAAATGATCTCCTGGCAGCCAGGGCTCTTGATCTGAGAGCTGGAAGTAGTCATTCCAACATCCAAGATGGCGTATGGATCGAAATTCTGGTACCTTAGTAGCTTCCATTATCCAAATATGACCCCTGTATGGGTGGTTGTCAAAATTGTGGCCCCTTTTTGGATCCCTATTATAATACCGCACCTACCATCTAGGGTAAACAAAAATGGACCGTAATTTGACAACCACCTATATAACCCAATAGAACCTCTATATACCCAAGAAGAAACTTGTGCTGCGCGCAATAGTAAACCCAGTTGCAGCCCTCATCTTGGGAGCTTGCCCTAAGGAGGTAGGTACAGCTGAAGGTAGTAATTTACTAATACCATGATACGGCAACATACTAAAAACAGACTATACTATGCTGTAATATACTATAATGTACTCTTAGATACCATAATATATACTCAATTGTTCAATCGAAAATTGCCGAAGAAGGCTATCAGCAATCCCTGCAAAGCTTCAATGACCCCAAGTCATCTTTTCTGCAGCAGAGACACAAAGCACTGGTTGCCAAGACCTGCCTCACCTCGGGTACAGCGTCTGTAAAGCGAACAGTAGTGCAAAGTATTGCCTGTTGTGGCAGCAACACCGCAGAACTCCGCGGAAAGCAGCAAATTCAGCACGAATCGCAAACGCAGCACCAACATAGGCACTACAACACTTACCACAACGGCCAGAAGCAGAGGCAGCAGCGTCAGCGGCACCGGCGCTCGCGATACAAGTCTTGTTTCAAAGATAGCTTTCTTGCAACCCTGCTTGGACGCAGAAGAAGGCTTCTTCTCCGCTCTTCAGCGACACTTGCATAAGACGACCCACCATGTCCAGACCCAACGAGCCTGAATGACGATGTAGATCAGCCAGCACCAGAGAAGTGCCAAAACCACAAGCCGCCTCAGCGCACTACGTTGCAAGCTGCCACTGCAAGCATTACAGTCCAGGTAGAGAAAAAAGCCGCCCTGCCAGCAGCTGTTGGGCACTCCCCTGATGTAGCCATACCCAAAATCAATCAATAATGCGTTGCAGCCAGGCTTCGCCAAGAAGCCAGCAGAAAATTTGCGAGATTTCCTGACATTCTCCGGGAATGCAGACCATGCTTGTCGATATGTGCCGGACGGCAATGAATTCCAGAAGAAAAAGAGGCGAGGCAATGAGCATCCGGCGTGTAAAGGGATTCTTTCTGCTTGGGTCCTTTATTTTGGAAAAAGGATTCAATGCTGGACCTCCTATTATGGAAGAAGCCCCGTGTATTCTGCTTCGCCTCCCTCCCTCGAAAGAGGATCAGGTCAACTATCGAAAGCCCTCTGTCATTTCTTTCGGTTTTGGATTTGGAGTCTTAGCAGAATCGAGCCAATCTCCCTGAATAAAGTCAATCCCCAGGGACTCAGTACTCTTAATTTTTCTGGCCCAAGGTGTGTTGGCTCCTGCTTCTGCACCGTGTTCAGCGCCTTTGCCTGCTTTGCCTTGCCCTACTGTTGCTGCAAGTCTAAACATGAGCGTGTTTGTGCAGCCATCCTTGGGTGATCTTTCCGTGCTTTCTTCGGCTTACCCCGCGCCTTCGACGGTTGCGGGGTCTCCCTTGCCTTTGATGGATCAAGGTGTTTCTGATCAGCATGGCGTCCCGAGTGGTTGTGATGTACCGAGTGCCGTGAATCAGCTTGCGTTGGTTGATGATTCCGGTGGTGCTGTCACTCCTGTTGCCGGGTCGCATGGGAATGTTGAGCGCTTTACCTTGTCCCCTCAGGCTCTTCCCGTGGCTGGTTGTAATCTTGGATCGGTTGAGTCGCATCGGATGCTTGGTGCTACGGAGCTTGACCGAGTTAAATACGTTGTTGAAGTGTTGCGAGCCGAGAATGTTGCAATCAGAGAGGTGCTTGAACAGATTGTGTCGTCCACCAGGTCCGAGCTCATGTCGATGAATGGTCGTTTGGGCAGTGGGCTTGGTCAGTTGCGTTCACTTATTGGAAACATGGACCACCACGACTTCAGTACCATGAAGCGTGAGATTGATCGATTGTGTGAGCATGCCGGAACCATTGGTCCCAAATTTGCCGAGATTGATCGTACCATACAGGCCATTTACATGCGATGTGAAGTGAATGAGCTTGACACCGTCAGGAAGCTTGAGGAATGCCGAGCGGATTATGTTGAGAAGTTGCGTGGATTGAATGAAAACATTGCGGGTCGGATTGTTGAGCTTGAGAATTATATGCAGTCGCAGTCCGCAGCATACCGAGAACAATTCATTTCCATTGAACGTCGTTTTGGAAAGATTGAAACCAGTTAGGATTTTGAAAAGTATCCAACGTTATGAGTCAGGGCCCCCGTGACAGAACCCAAAACCGTGAAACGCAGCAACATATTTCTCTGGGTTCCTGTTTGTTCTTTTTTTTTCCGTTTCCCTCCGCATACAACTCTCTGAATATTCCTTCCATATCCCTTTTCACCCTAAGACATCCCCAGATGCAGCGTGAGGCTCAGGTCTCGCATGGCGGTCTCACGTCGCACCTGCTTAATTATTGGTTTTAGGATTCAAGGGTTAGGGTTTAAGGGTTTGAGATTGCGGTCCTCGGGAACCCTGGGGGGGAAGTGCCAAAGACTCTTGGTGTCCCTACTCAGGATTTTGAAGGGGCAAATGTAAAAAAAACCTCCCACTCCGTTTAAGTACCGCGAAGTAGTGCCCCTTTGGAAAGGTATGTGGATCATGTAGGGGCACACAGGGTTCATGTAGATACTATGATGGTATCTAGATATCTTCCAACCTAGACGTAGCATGTTGTCGGGCCTAGTCGCAGGAAGTGAGCCCCCACATGCCCAAATACCAATGCTCACGTGAATGCGTAGCCCATTCTAGGGCGCTCATAACTCAGAATCTCACTTACAACTACTCATGAACCTCCTGGTTAACGTGGTCGAGTGGGGCCTGGGAAGGCCTCCAAGCTGGAAAAGCAGCCTTTGTCTCTCCAAACCTGTTAATGGATGGTCTCACACCCAACTTCCAGAAGCCTGTGTTCGCCCAATTCCCCATAGGTTTTAAAAAAAAAGAAAAAAGTAGCATTCGCAGCCGCACTCGTTCTCCTTCTCTCATCCTAGTTACCCTCCTGCCCGTCTGGCCTCCATGGCCTGTGTTCGGCAGTAGCGCACGCGTGAGCCGTGCTCAGTTGTCTCAGGGAAGGCCTTTGCAACCTCCCAAGTGGACGAATGAACCGGACAAGGCGGCTGGAGATTCAAGGCTTCGGGGGCATCCTTCCCAGCGGAATGCTGTGGGAACTTGCATGAACCCTGGGAGTGTAATTCCGTTTGAAAACTCTGTGTATCCTGTCGCTTTGCTGGTGCCAGAGGACATGCTAGCTAGGAAAAGGGAGCGGTTTTGACAGAGCTCATCTCAAAAAAGGGCCGCATTACAACAGGTGCACAAAGACCGTTGAGCATTTGCAAGAACGAGTCATGATCAGAAAAGCACCCTAGCATCAGAAACTCGAGGCAATGTAGACCCCTTCAAAAGGAATCAAACTTTAAACCCCTCTTTCATCCCAGCTTCTCTGTCATTCTGGGGGGATCTTATCCCTAAACCCTACAACCCTAAAACCTAAATAGTAGTTTCCATTCTCTATTCCACTATCCCTATATATACCCATCATAATATGATAGTTTCCATGTTCTTGTCCATGAAACCCTATATACCCCCATCGAATCCCTAGGTAATCCCTATACAAGCCCTATGTACTGCCTAAAACATCCCAATATTCCCTCTAAACCCTAAACCCCTAAACCCCTAAACCCTAAACCCTTTTCCCTTCAATGAGATCTGCCTCTGCATGGCCCGGAAACAGCAAGTACCAGGCCACAAAGGCCGTCCAGGGCACCAGCAGGCAGGTTAGCATGGCCAAAAGGAAGAAGAGCAAAGCCTCAAGATTTCATTGGGTACCTTTAAAGGGGAATATATAGGTTGTATATATAGGGTTCTATAGAGATTCTTGGGTTTAAGGTTTAGGGTCGGAGGGCTTGATGGTAGGAATAAGGACGACTGCTAGCCAGTGCTTTAGGCTTGGTTGCATTTTGATCAGGGCTGTTGTTTGTTGTTGTCGTTCGTGCCGATACCTGTCAGCAAACATGAGCATCGCAATATTTTGGGGAAGGGCAATAGGCCACAGTCAGCACAGGCGAAACTTGGATTGTAAGTCGATAAAAAAAACTATTTACTTCGAGCATCCCCACCCTAAAGCCGTTATTGCAGAAGAAGTGTAACGTTTCCCTGCCCCCCCTCAANNTGGGCACTCCAGGGATACTCTGTGGCTGCAGGGATATTTGGTGGTTGGACACTAGGGATACTTTGCGGTTGGGCAGTGTAAGGATACTCTGCGGTTGGGCACTGCAGGGATACTCTGCGGTTCGGCACTGCAGGGATACTTGGTGGTTGTCCACTGCAGGGATACTCTGCGGTTCGGCACTGCAGGGATACTCTGCGGTTGGGCACTGCAGGGATACTCTGCGGTTGAGCACATCCATTAAGCATTGCACGGATACTCATTGGTTGGGCACTGCAGGGATACTTGGTGGTTGAGCACTGCAGGGATACTTGGTGATTGGGCACTGCAGGGATACTTGGTGGTTGAGCATCGCAGGGATAATTCGTGGTTGGTCACAAAAGTCAGCTTCCAGCTGGGCGAGGACAACATCTACTTTAGAATCTAACAACCCCACTGCGAGGGTGGGGAAAAAACGTCGAAAACCCTTCAGGATAAGACCAGCGTCCGAGTCATCTCCATCACCTGGGAGGAGCTCAACATGGGTCTCGCAAACGCCCCCCATGACAGCACCATACTTTTGAGACAGTTCATGGAATCCCTCTTCATGATTCCCGCAATTTCCCTCGTCATACCCACACCTCCCAGCATCCGCGATTGAGCGCTAAACCCTACAACCTTATCACCACTTTAAACGACCCCTAATTTTTGAGTATCCCGACCTTGCGGCTTAGCCTTTCCCTTCGCAGCTGCCACTGCTGTTGGCCCCGCTAACAGCAAGCCAGCAAGAAGGGACGCCATGGCAGGCATCCTTCGAAGCTGCTACAGGTACTGGGGATATGAGGAGAGGCTAGGGTCCCACAAAGGGGTTCTCATCTCTTTGGGGATGAGGCCAGGTGATCCTTGGATGGGACCCGCAGCTCAACAAACAGTCATTCAACTTGCAGGTTGCACGCGAGACATTATCCGTCAAGGTTCACTGCAGCTTAAGAATTGTGTTGGGGGCTTCTTCCAATGCGCGCTGAAGCAGCTGGAACACGCTCGGCACAAGTCATATGTGTCTCTGCAAAGCGCAAGAATTTAGGTACACGGCTCGCTCCCAGCTTAAAACAAAGGCCTCAGTCAGTACAGATCCAATGGCAGGTCAAGAGATCCCCAAGAAGAAACCTCCGTGTGATTTTTGTGGCAAAAGTCGCCCCATCAGGTAAAACTCCCATACATTGGCAAGTAAGCAAGGCACACGCCCATGCTCCATGCCGGGCTGCTGGCAAAGCTGGACTCGGCTAGCCCCTTCTCCCATAATCTTCATCATGTTATTGTCAACCACAGATAGCCAAATACCTGAAGCAAAGCAGGTGCGCGTAGCAGCAGTACTAATGGCAATAACCTTCACGCTGCAAGTGATCAGTTTCAGAACGGTAGCAAAGGAGGCTGCATGTGAGCAGTGCATGACTAACCACATGTTGTTCACATGGGGTGAAGAGAACATTAACATGGACTAGGGAAGATGCTCAAGGATCCCCGTCTCTACGGATCACTCATGCATTCTCCCAGCTTTACATGGGAACTTCTTGAAACCGTGGGTTGCTCCTGGTGGGGGGCTCATTTCAAGATTTCGGGCTCTATGTTCATGAAATGAACCCCAACCTGTGTTTTTTTGGAGAAAAGCGGTACCCCAGAGACACCAAGATTCATGAACTACAATCAATATGTCCTACATAATTTGATGGGCATGGGCTAATTATTAGGGACTCGATCAGGGACTATACTTTTAAACTACAAGAGGGACCGCCATGTCGACTGCTAAGTGTCCCTTAAGAAGGCTAATATCATTCATATTGATAGTAGCACATATGGGTCTCCTGACATCCATGCTCCGGATCAGACGGTTATGGATAGCTTGAGAAATACCAACCTTTTGCCAGGCCAACGTCTCAAAGAGTCACAGCATGCAATCCACAAGGTGTGGACTAATTCATCAGGTAGTTCCCTTTCGGCCCCGAAATGGAAGACCCTCTATCAACTTTCCTCATAATTCCCCATTTTTGTGATCTTTTTGGAGGGTCTGTCCTATAAAACGGCCCTTGGGAATCTACCCAACTTCAGGGAGACACGTGCAACTGTGAAGGCCTGTCAACCCTTGGACTGGTACTATGGCAGCCTCTAGGAAGGCTCAGGATTTGGGGTTTAGGGTTTATGGCTGCTCCTTACTATCCACTTCTGAGAACAAGACCTTAATGAGCCCTACTTTGTGGTAGTTTGTGGTGGAGCTTTTCTGAAGCGTCTGTGTTGTGCACAACTTCGTGAAAAGTGTAGTTGCAGTAGACGTTACATGCGCAGCATATACGTGTATGCAAAGTGCAGACGTGCCCGGCTGCTGCTGTTGGTTCTACTTTCTTTCTAGTATATAGAGTATATATTGGGGCTATATAGGGATAATGGAAAATAAAATGGAAACTACTAGGGTATAGGGATTCTATAGGGTATATTATGGTTTATGATAATTTGTTTGCTGGAGCTGGAGCTCCAGGTGAAACGATTCATGCATTTACGGAAGGGAGCCTGCCGCACATCTGAAGTAAACCTGTGGCCTGTGTGCCATGTCTTTGCTGCTTTGCATCTGCTCTATTTTGGCGGGGCATCCCTTTGAACCCTACATCCTACAATCTACAAAAGGAAAAACAGCCTCAATCAACGTGTGTTCCACCACATGCCACCACGACTGCAAGAGCCTCACTCAGTGCCTCAGCTTCACGAAGCTGTTGCACGGGTACTTTGTATTAGGGTTATATAGGGATAATGGAAAATAGAATGGAAACTACTATTGTCTATTGGGGTTATGTAGAGATAATGGAGAAAATGGAAACTAAAATTGATGCACTTTTGTCAAGCCATTTTTTGAATGTAATGATGTGCGACCAAGAGGATAGGAGCTACTGAACTAAGTTCAATGCCTGTGCAGTTTCAAGGCTGCCTTCTCTTGCTTCAGCTATACTTGCACAAACCCCTCACCAACCTGCTTAAGGTTGCGGCATGGGCGGCGCCGCCGGAACATCCAAGCGTGAGTGGCACAAAGGACAGTTCCGCAGCTTTCGGACCTCCAAAACAGATTTTGTGACGGGTGTCTAGGGGTAAGGTAGGGTTTCTGGGTTATGAGGAATACTACAGGGATGTGTGAGAAAATTACTCAAGAATGAGGAATCAAATTAAAAATGAAGTGGAATCTGGATTTCTATAAGGATTACATTAAACGGATTGTGTATTGTAGAAGCTCGAATACATACCAACATCATGTTGAGGTCTATTCAGGGTACTAAGATTATACCGCCAATCACAACAAATCCTCATTATTCAGGCCTGTGTAATACTGCAACCGTCACTGAGGCATGGAACAACTCTTGCTTTGGAACACACCCGGAAGTGATGACAGAATATCTAGCCATTGTCCAGGTTCCCCCCATAAAAACCTTAATCCAAGCGCAGGGTTCTAAGTTCTAAGCAGGACCATACCTGTATGTCTCAACATCTCCCGATATAGCAAAATGAGCTATATAGTCTAAACTCCTAGTATCCCCCTTAATATCCCTATAGTAGTCCCCTATCTAATCCCCTATACACCTCGAAAGAGTTTTCACTATTGCTCATACTGCATACCCTTCAAAGTGGCCCCCTAATTTGGAAACCTGCCAAAATAGTCTTACTCTATATTGTGGATCCTAAATCCTAAACCGCCTAAACCCCTAAACCCCTAAACCCCCAAAACCCCAGATGAAGTACTACTCAAATAGAGCTGCCTCGGAGGCATACATGCGATGCCGACAGACGCGGCACTTGATGGTTTCGCCCAGAGGGCCTGCAGAGGTTGCAAGGGGCCAGGGAGATTTTCTAGGATTGTATAAGACCCCTTTTAAGTAGGGAGAATGGAAAAGAAAATGGAAACTACGATACTGGGGTCACACAGGGTTTAGGGTTTGGGGTAAGACGGATAAGGATTATACAGGGGTTCCATAAGGGTTATCACGAAACGCCCTGCAGAGCGACCCGCGTAGGCACTTGTAAGAACATACTTCAGCTCACATCACTCAATATAATGGGGTAATGGAAAAAAATGGAAACTACTATAGTATATTGGGGTTACATAGGGGTAATATTGGGATATTGGGGTTATATAAGCCAGGATTCAAGCTGTACCCCCTCGAGACACTGTTCGCCTTGCCTGAGCCAGGTGGATACGGGCCAGAGTTGGCTCCTCTGTCCTGTCCATTGCTTATCAACTTAGTATTTAGGGTTTAGGGTTTAGGGAATTTCCAAAGGTACCCGACATGTGCCAATGCGTTTCAAAGGTCCTCAGGAAAGATGGACCGCCCCGAGGCCACGCAGAATGCAAGCCGGTGGTTGCAGCTGGAACCTCTGCATTCTCACTTCCCTTGCAACAGCCGCATTCCAGAACATGAAAAACCTGCAGCTGCTTGCTGATGTTTGAAGCATCAGATAAGCGTCACCCCTTTTTGAATCCATCGCGCTGCCACAAACGCATCTCCTGGCTTAAATTTACTGCTTTCAAATGCCACAAAAGCCCATGTCTTCCCCTTGCGCTGGCCCCGTCGTGAACCGGCGATGGTGGCAACAAGTCTATTTTGGAACAGACATTGCCCACTCCCCTCCACGCTGCGCTTGCGGTCCTGCTGGATGGCCCTCCAGCTTAAAGTGGGCAAAGCCCTCTAGGCCCAAACCCACCCCTGGCAGTTCAGTACAAGAAAGTCTGGAAAATCCTTCACCACTCCCAGATAGCATCCCCTTCGTCGGCGTCGCCCAGGTAGATGTAAGGAAGTTCACCTCCATCTTCAAACTCAGTCTCGAAAAGCCTGGCTCGCTGTGGGCTCACAGCAACACATCCTCCCAGCTTCCCTCCCAAACAAGCATGAAGCCTCATCTGGGCCACTTTCAATGGGGCTGAATGCTAGTTTAGAGGAGCTCCGTAATTGGTTATCTATATAGCCCATGCCCCATCCTGCGTCTTTTTCTAGGCAGTGCTGGCCTGACGTGATCATCCAGGACGAAGTTGCTGGGTGTGAACCTCGCAGCCCGTCCTGCTTCATGCGAAGTCGACAATATTTGTACCCTTACGGCTTAAGGGCTCCTCCAAGTATCGAAGAGCTACCACTCAGGGGACAGTACCGTAATGGAAAATAGAATGGAAACTACTAATAGTTATGTTGGGGTGATATTGGGGTAATATTAGGGTTATCTTAACTCCTGCGCATCCTGCGCTACGTTGCCCCATTGCACTATTCTGGTGGTTTCTCTGTCTATCGTGGCCAGTTCCAGTGCCACGTTCATAAACTCCATCAGGAATGGCTACTGCAACAAAAGTCTCTGTAACCAACCACCCTGGAGATCAACATGCTAGCACTGGCATTGATTTTGCTATCTGTGTGAACATGATGACTACCTGCCAAGCTGCCAAAGACGCGCTCTCCTCGCGATCTCCGCTTCACAATAACGATCTTGTCCTTGTTGCATTGTACTGTAAACCCATGATGAATAAACCGCGTCCTTTTAAGGGCCTAAATATTAGGATCCCTACTATAATCCCGATTAAAGGGAGGGGGTTTATCAGGGGTCTGGCTCAGGAATTCAGGGATTAGGTCTGGGAGAATGCAATATGTTCGAGAAGAGGAGCTTGGAAAGCACTACCCCTCCAACCAGTAACCAATTGCACCTGGACTGCACACTCCCACACAATGTCACAAGCATCCTGCTACTCGACATATACCATGTGCTGCAGCTTGCCTCAAAAGCATTTTCCCAAAGCTGTAGGCTCACATGTCCCAAACCCCAAACCCTAAACCCTAACCCCAAGCTTGAACCCCCAAACCCTGAACCCGTGAACCCAAGGCCACGGCCAGCCGCAGGAAGGGTAGGCGCGTGCACATCCACTTCCTCAAGTTGGGTTTAGGGCTTAGGGTGTAGGGGAGAAGCAAAACCAGGTTCTTCTTTGGAGGACTCTACAGAGACCAATACTCTTCTGGGGGAAAATGCACTAGGTTCCCTAGGCAGCCATACAAGCACTTCGAAGTTCTACTTCAGGGGCTCGAGGCCCGCTCCGTGCTCGCCTTCAACAAGAGAGCAACATGCAGATTTCCAAAGTGGACGGCCCCAAATATAGACGCCATGTATACTTTGATCCTCAATGTGAATGGGATCCGTAATTTTGGAAGCCCTCACATGGCTGATGTTTTTTGCACGCCCATCCAATGGCTCACGGCCCACAAGAGGATTGCGGGGGTCGCTTCTACATACCGGACAAGGCCTGGAGTGATTTCCATAATGATTAAACATGCATCCAAGAGCCCCAAAACCATGCACCCCTGCTGCAATTACCCCATCCACTTTCTAGAAAAACTCTTCTGGGCCAAGAGGCTTAACAGTGTGGATGTTATACGCCGGCTTCAGGCATAGCTCATGGACTTCATCGTCCTGCCAGTGAATCTTTCAAAGTTGGGCTTTCAGGCCAAGTGGATAGCGCGCAGAAAGCAAGTTGCTCTGCCTTACACTTACACCCTTGCAAGCCCCAGAATGATGGTCACAAAACGTGGCTGAAATCTGCAAACCATGAAAATCATGGCTAGCAAGCTCTGACCTTTTGGAGGAGCGATGGCTCCTGAATCCCACTGCGGGGGTTGGGGATACTTGCGGCGACGCTAATCTTGGCAACTAGTCTTCAATTTCCAAAATTTGCAAAAATGGAAAGCAGTGCGAACCACATGGAAGTTCCTGCCAAAAGTCACACACACACACACACCAGCCATGCAAACATGCTACGTACACCCGAAAAGTGGAGCTTCACATCGCAACGGCCCTCAACAGCGTTGCAATCTGAACCCCACACCCTCATCTCCCATCTGGTAGGTGGCGGACATCAAAGGGATTCTTGAAGTGCATGACCATGGCTTCCCCTTCATCCGGCAGCGCCTCCTCAAGGAGTGGGCCTGCCTGCGGAAGTTGCGCAAAAAATCAATGAGACCTACCAGTATAAGATGGAAGGAGTAACTGCGGGAAACAATGGGAACTAGTAAGTACACACGAGTTTCTAAGAAGCATTCTGCATGGATGGAGCCTGCAGCGTGATACCGACTGCTACAGCCCTGAAGGTGGTGGGGGGCCTTTTGGTCCTGGTGTCCTGTGAAGCCTTCGCATCAATGAAAAAAAAACAAGGCGGCCTGCCTTGCCAAATCCGGGACCCTCTACGAGCCTCGGCACAAGGAGGTGCTCCCAGTGTCTAAGGATCGGGGCGTGGGATTCAAGATCCAGGACGTAGTGGCTTGGGGTTCAAGGCTTCAGATTTAAAGCTTCAGGTGCACAGCTTCCAGGTTCTTCTGCACAGGCATCCTCATTTAAAGAGTCCCGAAGAACAGAACAATCGCTTGGAGCCCCATAGAGTACTGCTACAAAGGATTAAGATAAGAAGCAATCTGCAAAAGCTTTCGCAGGCGGGCAGACAGAAGAAAAGAATAAAGCGCTGAAGGGTAAGAAAGGGGAAGGGTCTGGGAAGGAGGAGCCTCATGCAAAGCCCTCCCACGCAGCCAGCCATAACCCCGCAATCCATATCCACCGTAGAGCATCCCCAAAATCCCTATAAACCCTAGACCTTAAACCCTGCACCCTATACCCTAGTGCCCTAGTGCATCTCCCAAACCCTATAGCATCCCCCAAACCCTAGAAAAGCTTGATGAATATCCTTAACCTTCCTCTTCTCCCCACTCCTCCACTGCTGAACTCTAAATCCCTGTACTAATGGAAGCTACAATAGTAGTTTGGGGTTATGTTGGGATAATGAAAAAGAAAATGGAAACTACTTTTTAGGGTTTAAGGTACAGTAACATGAATAGTAACACTATTAAGCCAGTTCTAATGATCTCACAATTACTGCTACTAATAGTGATACTATTCAGAAATTCATGTTACTATACACTAAACCCTAAGCCCTCACTAGTAGTTGCCATTTTCTTTTCCCATTATCCCAATATAACTCCAATATACTATTGTGGTTTCCATGTTCTTTTCAATTATTACATATAATCCCCATATGAGCCATAGTCTAAACTCCTAGTATCCCCCTTAATAACCCCCATAGTACCCCCATACATAATCCCCTATATAACCCCTTTTAAGGAGTTTAGGCTATGGCTCATGTAACCCTAAACCCTAAACCCTTAAACCCTAAACCCTAAACCCTAAACCCTAAACCCTAGACCTTACGAGATCCCAAGGAAGGAAGCTGAGCTCGAGGCACCCAGCCAGGCTTCTGGAAGCAGGGGTCCAGCTCGACCCACAGCCCTCCTGCTTTTGGGGTGCAAAATCTAGGGTTACAGGTTTTGGAGTAGGGGTTCAATTAGAAGTTCAGGGTTAAGGCACGAGATTTCATCCGCCAAAGAAGCCAAAATTGAGCGAGTGATTGCTTCACTAACATGAAGGAAGTTGGTGTGCACAACATGGGTGGGAGTGGGGGCTCTCCACTTGTTCTGACTACGGCCTGCCTGTCACAACTACAGGAGGATTTCCAGATGGATGGGCAACCAATGCTATTTGCGAGCTGTTCTCGCTCTGCTCCACCCCCTTTACAAGAATGATGAGCCGCCGCACCTGCAGGTCCGACCCAACTTCTGCCGGTCGTCTTCACTTTGGAACCGACCTTTCTTTGGATCTGGACCTGAATGCCCACATCCCTCAATAAGCAGAGTGCACACGGATTTCACAACTCTCGGAGCAGGGCAATCATCTTGGAAGAGCCTGGATCTGTTCCTTTCCTCAAAGCAGTCAGCTCCCCAGCCCTTCCCACAGCTCAGCTTTGAAATGAAGTCCTGTCGTGTTGCCTGTGTCATGGTCTGAGGTGCTGTCGCCTTGAAAAGCACACCTCAGAAGCAGCGAGGTGGCGCATAGCTTTGGGGCATGGGCTCTCATCACGCTTATTCATGCTTCGTCGAAAGTAAGCGAACCGGCTATGGGGACGACTATTGAGATCCATCCCCCTGTTCCTGACCAAGCATGAGCAGGTACGATGCGCTTGACGTCTTCGGCAAAAAGCTGAAGGCATCACCCTGCATGACATGGTACTCGACGGTCGGGCTGGTGATCACCAGCGTCAACTCATCTCCACTCTCTATTCCAGCGCTCTCCAGCGTGGCATGGAGAGGAAGTATCGTGCCTGCGCGAAATTCTAATCAGGGTAAGAACCTAAACCCTGAACCCTAGATCCCTAAACCCTAAACCCTACACCCTCAAAGTGAGGCTTGGGATACAAGCCCTGCAGCCTTGGAGGTTGCGGGTGTTAAGGGCGGTTTAGGCTTTGGGCTGAAATCCCCATTTAAACCCTGTACATCCTGCAAAAATCCCTAAACCACTATTGGGGTTATATTGGGATAATGGAAATGAAGATGGAAGCTACAATGGTACCTTGGGGTTATATTGGGATAATGGAAAAGAAAATGGAAACTACTAAGGGCTATAGTCCCTATACAGGGGTTATATAGGATTATATAGGGTACCTGCAACCCCAATAGATTCCTACATAGGCATGCCGA